AAAAAAAAAAAAAAAAAAAAAAAAAAAGGAAAAGCAAACAAGGCAGAATGGCAGGATGTAGGAGGCAGAGATCTTTCCAGGTCTTTTCAGACGTGATGCTCATATACACATGATTGTAGGCCTGGCTCTGCCAATGATAAAATAGCAATTACAGTGATGGCAGCTGCCATTAGCTGAGCTTCCCTGTTACGGCCCCTACCCCTCTCCCTCTCCTCTTTACTTCTGAGCTCTGTTCTCAAGCTGGGCCACCCAACAATGACTATAAGAGCAACAGATGGCGGCTAACACATATTAGCCACTACCAGGGGCTGCCCTAAATGCTGTAGAAGCAGGAATTCATTTAGAGTTGCCAACAGTTCTAGAAAGCAGGTACATTGCTGTCCCATTTCACAGATGGAGAAACTGAGACCAGAGATGAAGTAACTTGCCCAAGTGCACACGGCTCAAAGGGATCAGAGCTCAGATTGAAACCCAGGCCCATAAGATCACCCCATCGGCGAGCCCTTGGTGAGGTGGGGGGAGCATTTTCCTCCCCTCCCCTCCTGTCAGCCTCATCAGGGTGAGCACCAACACTATAGCCATTTATTGAGGTATAGACAGGCAGCCTGGCTTGGGCCTAGACTCTGGGACCCAAGCTGCCTCCCCAGCCTGCTATACTCAGAGGGAGGTCTGGACAGGCCACTGCCTCTCTCTGGCTCAGTTTCTCTTCTGCAAGTGGAGGAGTCAGAGCAGAAGTTTTCCAAGGGATGTCTGAGAAAAGGAGAGGAGTACTGACTGTATTCTGAGGCTCTGTCTGGCTGAAGCTCCTCTCCAGGTCCCAGGCTCTCTGGTGGTGTGGAAAGCTTGCAGGGGCCTGGAGCCTCAGCCTCTGTAGATAGGATCTCCTGGACTTCAGGTTCTTCCAAGCCTGAGAAGCAGAATGAAAAAAGGGGGTGTGTTTTGTCCATCTGGGCCTGTTAACCATGCATAGAAGCTAGCACAGACTCTAAAGTGGGTTCCGTGGCCACATCAGACTAAGCCTATGGGGCTGGCACACAGCTGCTGGCTAGGACTGTGTCTCTGATTTAGTGGCCCAGACCAAGCTCTCTTATCCCTTTGTGCTTCCATAGAACTGGCTTTTCTGGGCTTTGCTGTCCTCTCCTCCCTCCCTTGGAGCCCTTCTCCCTCCATCGTTTTGACTTGATCCACAAGTTGAATGGCAGAGGCCTGGTCCCATGGCATGAATTGATGAATCACAGCCAGAATCCCCCTGCATGAAAATATCTCCCCAAGTGGTGTGAAATTCCCCTCTTTGGTGTTAAGCATCACTCCCTCCTTTCTAAGATGTAAATTCCCGACCAGGATGACCTGTTCTCCCTGATGCCCAGGAAGAAATTACTTGACTGATCCTTTCTCCTTCTAGCTCTGGCCCCATCATCCATGGGCCATGGACCTTGGACACATTGTTTCACCTCCCAAAGCCTCAGTCCCTTCACCTGTGAGGTGGGGATCATAGTTGCACTTCATCTGATGGCTGTGAGGACTGGATGAGTTATAGATATGCAGCAGGGAAATGTCTCACTTTACAGGTGAAGAAACTGAGGCATAAAGATGGGGAATGACATAGACAATATGCTAGAACTCAGGTCCCCTGCCTCCCCTACTCCAGCTCCTTCCTACACACATGACTCCCCTCCCTCCCAGGGGGCAGAAGCCAAGGCAGCCAAGAAATGTGGATGGCTGGGGAATCCCGGAACACAATTTCCCTCAAGGGCTTATTGGGGCGGACTAGACTTGGCTGAGGTTTTGAGTGTGGAGGTGACCTGCTGGCTTTCTCTCTCTCTTCCCACAGTCATCCTTATGCCACTCAGTGCAGAGTGCAAAAGTCAGATCAGGCTCAGCACAGCCTTAAAAGTGGCCAATTCCATCCAGGGGGAAGGTTGCAGAGCTGGAGGCAGCTGCAGGGTTGCTATGGCAACTGCAGAGCCTGCTCACCATAGCTGCTGGAGATGGAAGGCCGATGGCCACCGACACACAGGGGCCGGAAGCTGGACTTCTTCGGTGGCCGGGCCTCTGGACTGGAAACATCTGTGGCCCCCCTCTTGGCCTCCTCGGAGCCGTGTTTCTTAAGAGAAAAGTTTCTCTTGGGGCTTGTCTTTTTCTCTTGGGATTTCTTCCTAACAGCTGCTGTTGGGTTTGGCAGGACAACCTTCGGCTGTGAGGCCTGAGATTGCTGTGAGGGACAGGAGAGAAACTGAGTCAGGCTCATACATTGAGGAGAAGGGGAAAGCTCTCTGAAAGCAACTGAAGAGCACCCGAGCGACAGGATGGCCCCCGGTGAGGGGAGGCAGCAGAGCCCAGAGCACAAGGAGAGCTGAGTTCTGAAGCTGCAGAAGGAGGCTTCAGGGAAGGAAGGGACTGGTGCCGGGCCTGCAAGGACAGGAGTTTGGCAGAGGAGAAGGAGAAGGCTGAGAGCCCCTGGAGATCTGCCAAGTTCGCTCCTCACCTCTTCTTCCCACTGGTCTCCCACTCTTTTGAGAAATTCCACTATCATCTGAATGATAGCATCCTCTGGAAGAAAGCAAATACACCCGGTTATTCTTTCTAAATGCACAGACAACTCCTTCGAAATGACCATCTCGGACAGTTCTCTTACACAACTCTTTAGGCCACACAACGGAGGGAAACACCACATCCCAGGACAGGTCCTTCAGAGAGAAGTTTGGAAGATCCGTCAGGGAAGGTGCTAAGCCAAGTCACGACACTTTATGCAGGAAATTTCAGGTCAGTCCTTTAGGCATTCAACTTGTGCCCCCCTCTTTCCTTTGAACTTCACAGATCTACTTTGGGTTCAGTAAACTGTGGGTCCTTGAATAAGTGCCCTACCCTCTCTGGGCCTTCAATCTCTCCCAGCAAAATATGGGTCATAATCTTTGTCCTGCCTTCCCCAGAAGGTTGTCAAGCCATCAAATGAGGGACTGGGCTTGAAAACACTTTGCAAGGCTAATGCTGATCTTCCAACCTGCAAAATTTCAGTGGGGAAAATGGTGGATACCTGGCCTAACTAAGGTGGAGGATGGAGGGACGTCAGCAGGCATGACATGGAGAGAGCCTGCCACGCTGATGCCTCAGCCACGCCCTCACATCTGCACGGAGAAGCCACTCCAATGGAAATGGTTTCCTTTGATACGCCAGTCAGCCTATTCAAGGACAATGTCCCCACACTGTCCTCTGCTAGGTGCCGCTGATGAGTTGACATGAAAAGAGATGCAAACAAATTCCCTGTCCCCAGGCTGCTGTCTGTGGGTTTGCTTTTTTTTTTTTTTTAACCTCCTAACTTCCGTCTCACTTCCCTCTCGCTTATAAATTGGCTTTTGTTGCCTGACTCAGCTACCAGCTGGCTATCTCTCATGTAAGAAAACGATTAGCTGCAGAATAGCTAACTAAATGCCTTTTAGTTATTCTTTGACACATACATAGCTCCTTTATTTCACGTATTATAAAATAGGCTCATCTTTTTTTACAGAGAATTAGACAAATAGGGTATTATCCTCGATTTATTAGGAGCACTCAGTATTGTGGTTTAGTGTGAGACTGTACTTCTTTTTTGGAGATGCATGTTTAAGTATTTAGGGATGAAGCATGATTTACTCCAAAGTGATTCAGCAACAAAAAAATACATGAAGCAAACTGGCAGAGTTTAACAACTGTGAGCATACAAGGGTGCATTGAACTATCCGTTTCACTCTTCTATATATTTTTAAAGCAAAATAAATTTTAAAAGACTAAGAAAAGTTCCAATCCCATTAACACAGAAGGCAGCAGCATTTGCCAGCAGCCTTTCCAATTCCCCAGCCTCCCTTCTGTGAAATTCTAAAATAAGCAGATGTGGCCAGAAGCACCAAAAGAGGTAAGAAAGACCAGTGCGTGTATTTTGGGAGCCACCATCCAAGGTCTCAGTGATCATTCAGAATAATCCATCTCACTCAGTAACAGCCACCTCAGCCACAGGTAAAAAGGTCACTAAGAGATTCCGACTCACCATCAGGCTTTCTGAGCTCCTCTTCTTGCTGGTGACCTGTGGCGTGGGGAGAAACATCCAAAGCTCCAGCACCATCTGCTCTGATGAGGAAGGACTGACGATCAGAGTCTTCCCCACCTGGAATAGAGACAAAAGCAAAAGGGTATGTGGGTGTGAATGTGCGTGTGCGTGTGTCAGTGACATTCTCCTGACTGTTCATCAACACGAGAAAGCAGCACAGAATTCACAGTGCAACAGGCACTGCTGCAGCCTGCTCTAGGCTTAACCAAAACAAATCAGAAACCCATTAAGGTTTTTATTTGAAAAGAGGCTGCTTCCACCAAGGCACGTCTCTCACTAGCCCCTCTCCTCAAGTCCTCAATCTTCTCCCCATCATAAACACTGGGTTTTGAGTGCTGCAAGGCAGAGCCCCCTCTCCCTCTCGGTGCCTGTGGGCATTCAGCTCCAGAACCTTGCAAGGCAGAATTGGAAGTCACCTTGGGAGCCAGCACCCTCATTTGCATGTGTAGAAAGCAAAAAGTTCCTCTTCAAAATTTCCCTTCTTGTTAAAGAATAATAATAATAAATGTTAGAAATAATAGTTTCTTTTAAAGACTAACTTTCTTCAAAGCCTTCTTGCTTTTTGCTGCTAACTCTTTGTTAAGCCCTATCCTATGTAGCTGTTAGATATAAGGGAATAAGTGCACTCTATGTCCTTGTACTTTAACCAAGATATTTGTGCTGGATGTGCTCACAGGCATGTCCCAGCTTGCAGCCTCCGCCCCTCCCTTATTTGGGAATGTTATTACTTCTCTATGTCCCTTCACAAGCAACTTCCTCTTTTCCTTTTGTTCTCCATTGCCTTTACCAATTTGGAAAAGTTTTAAGTTGTCAGCCAATCGAGTTTAGTTTAGATTGTGAGGTCCAGCCCCAACCAATGGAGATCAGACACTGCAGTAAGGACCTAATGTGTAAGGAATAAATATGCCTGCCTTTCCTTTGTTCATTGTATTCTCATGGCAAGATGGCTGATGAACAGTACCCTTTCTGCAGAAAGTAAAATGGCCTTGTTGAGAAAAGTTTTTGTCTGAATGCTCATTTTTCCTTGCGGTACCTAGGAACAAGCAACAATTCTCTCTAACATGAGAAATCAAAAGTTCCAGGGGTGGCAGCTCAAGCTCAAGGTCACACAGCAAGTTTACTCCTGATAGAGCCAATCCAGAACCAAGGCCTGGAAGCAGCAGCCCAGAAGCACATAGGAACCAATAGGGCTTCCCTCCTCACCCCAGTCCCTGCCTTCTCATTTCTCCTAGGTCTGTGCTCCTGAAACTAGAGTACTTGGCAATAACAGCTACCCTGCACTGAGCTCTTTCCTTGTGGGCTGTGGCCACTCCATGAGACAGTAACTATTTATCTTCATTTTACCCATGAAAAAAGCTGAGTCTCAGAGAGGAAGGCTGCCACCCCTGGCCACACAGCTTGGGAACAGCAGCAGCACAAGTGGTTCTCCTGGAGCACTCAGCCATGGTGCCATTCCACCTCAAAGAATTATCGCAGTGGGCCAGATGCAGTGGCTTATGTCTGTAATCCCAGCACTCTGCGGGGCCATGGCAGGTGGATCACTTGAGTCCAGGAGTTTGAGACCAGCCTGGTCAACACGGTGAAATCCTGTCTCTACCAAAAAACACAAAGATTAGCCAGGTGTTGTGGCAGATGCCAGTAGTCCCAGCTACTTGGGAGGCTAAGACAGGAGAATAGCTTGAGCCTGGAGCAGAGGTTGCAGAGAGCCAAGATAATGCCACTGCACTCCAGCCTGGGGGACACAGCAAGACTCCATCTCAAAAAAGAAAATAAAAGAAGAAAAGAAGAGAGAAAGAGAGAAGGAGAGGAGAGAAAGAGAGAAAGGAGGGAGGGAGGGAGGGAGGGAAGGAGGTGAGGAAGGAAGGAGGGAAGTAAGTAAGTCATACTGGTATGGCCCTGACAGCTCCCCAGACTATCCCCGTCCCCTCTGTGAAGAGGCTCCTGGAGCAAGTTTAGCGCACCCTAGGGGTTGCCATAGGTACAGGCAAGGTCCACTCACCCCTGTGAGCTGGGCCCAGGTCAGCCTCCCCAGAGCGCAAGGCAGCAGCTGTCCTGGACAGCCCTTCCTCTTGGCCTCTGGCCTCCCGGTCTTGAGCTGCCTTATTCACCTCGACCATGTGTTTCTTGTGACTTTGCTTCTTGCGGCTGGCCTTCTTGTCATGGTGGGCTTTCTTCCTGAGGGCTGGCTCCCCCGGTGCCTCTGGGGGCTCTGGAGGCTGGGAGAGGTCCTCCGGCCCCCTTGGCCTCCTGCTGGCCTTTTCTCTGGGCTCCTCATGGCCCGTCCTCAGTAAGAAGAAGTTCAGCATGGTCTTCAGCCACCCCTGCTGGGCCCTCCTCTGGGCCTTGTCCCTCTTGGTGTCTTGTGGAGACCTCTCCTCGCCGGGGAGAAACTCTCCAGTCTCCTCCGGAGTGAGGGCTGCAGCAGTGGCACCCTGAGCCTCTGCAGACGGAGCTGGGCTCTCCGAACGTCCGGCCCAATCACTGGTTGTCCAGTGAAGCGCCTTCCTGGTGGGAGCAGTGGGCAGGGAGAGGCAGTGGCAGTCCCATGGCTCTGAGTCTTTCCTGGGGGCCCATGGCCTGTCCAGAGACTTGGCTTTCCTCTCCGTCAGGGGCCTCCTCGGGCGCCTTGGATTCTCCATCAGGCTACAACCAAAACAAACAGCTCCCTTAGTTTTGTTTGTTTGTTTTTGTTGTTGTTATTTTAAGATGGAGCCTCGCTCTGTCACCCAGGCTGGAGTGCAGTGGCGCTACCTCAGTTCACTGCAACCTCCGCCTCCTGGGTTCAAGCGATGCTCCTGCCTCAGCCTCTTGAGTAGCTGGATGACAGGTACACGCCACCACGCCCGGCTAATTTTTGTATTTTTAGTAGAGGCGGGGTTTCACCATGTTGGCCAGGCTGGTCTCGAACTTTTGACCTCAGGTGATCCACCCGCATCAGCCTCCCAAAGTGCTGGGATTACAGGCATGAGCCACCGTGCCTGGCCAAACAGTTCCCTCAGCAGAGGCCTCCTGGGCACAGAGAAGCTGGCTCCCAGCGCTGCCCAGTGGTTCATTCACTCTGCTCACTAATGTGAGGAGTGTCAACCCCTCATGTCAACAATTTCTCAAAGCTGTTGTCTTGTGCAAATTCCCCCAAAACCCTTGGGGAATGGGGGTCGCTGTTCTCATTTTCCAGAGGATGAAAGTGGACCACAGGGAGATCCTGCTCAGATCTCAGGGCTGGTCAGCTACACCTCCAGAGCCCCTGAAAGGAACACAGCCCTGCCCACATGCAGGTTTTAGTCCATCAAGACTGATTTGGGACTTCTCCTCCAGAACTGCATGATAGTTAATTCATCTTGTTCCAAAGCCACTGCGTCTGGGGGCTTCTGTTATAGCACCAACGGAAAATGAATACAGCCGGAGCCAGAGGTCTAGTCCTGCCCCTCACTAGCCTTGGGACCTTGGGCAGCTCAGGCACCTTCTCCGGCCCCATGTTCTCCTCTGAAACATCCCTGAGCCCTGCCCTACCTCACCGGCTGCCAAGAATATTCCACCAGGCAGCTCTGTCAATGGCAACTCTCTTCTTCTAACTGCTCAAGCCAAAAATGTAGTCACTCCTGACTTCTTTCTTTAAAAAAAAAAAATTATATGTATATTGAAAATAGATATGGGGTCTTGCTGTGTTGCCCAGGCTAGTCTCAAACTCCTGGGCTCAAGCGATCAACCCACCTTGGTCTCTGCAAGTGCTGGGATTGCAGGCATAAGCCACTGTGCCAGCCTCCTTTCTTTCTTCCACACCCACATCCACCCATCAGCAGAGCCTTTTGGCCTCACTCTCACAGAGCCTCTCCTCACCCTGACGGCCCCTGTGGTTTCTAGGTCCCCACCTGCACTCTCCTGAACTGTTATCATCACCTCCTAACTGATGTCTCTGCTCTCCTCTTGCCCTCCTTACAGTAACTTCTCCACTTAATAACTGTGGGACTTATAAAATGAAAGTTAAGGCCGGGCGCGGTGGCTCATGCCCATAATCCCAACACTTTGGGAGGCTGAGGCAGGTGGATCACGAGGTCAAGAGATCGAGACCATCCTGGCCAACATGATGAAACCCCCATCTCTGCTAAAAATACAAAACTTAGCTGGGCATGATTTTGTACTTAGCTGGGCCTGTACTCCCAGCTACTCCAGAGTCTGAGGCAGGAGAATTGCTTGAACCCAGGAGGCGGAGGTTGCAGTGAGCCAAGATTGCGCCACTGCACTCCAGCCTGGCCACCTGGTAATTGAGTGAGACTCCGTCTCAAAAAACAAAAACAAAAGTTATTTCCCTTCCTCCAAGGGTCCCCTTTCACTCACAGTCTTTACAGTGGCTGGCACATCCTGCACATTCCAGCCTCCAAACCCCTCTGACCATGTCTCACACACTCCACTTCACGCACACAGCCCTGCTTGCTGTCCTTCAGGCCCGCCTGCCTCTGGGCCTTCACACTGGCCAGTCCCTCTTTCTAGAACATTCTTCCCTCATGGAAAGAATGAGTTTGTTCATGGTTTGCTCCCTCACTGCCTTCAGGGCTCTACTCCACTGTCACCTTTCCATCGAGGCCCCTGCCCACTCCCCATCGGCACACCCTTTCCCCGCCTACCCCGCGGCCTGGTGGTGTGCAGTGCCATGTCTTTATGGGTTTAGTGGTTTACTGTCTGAGTCTCTCTCCATCTCCTGTGTCTATTTTGCTAGGTCTTCTATCTTTGGGTGTCTAGAACAATGTCCAGCATATCACTGCCACTCGATAAGCACTTATTAAGCAAAGGAACAGATGCGTAACACATTTAGTAAATGGTACAACACTTAAGGTGTCTTTGGATGTATGGTTAGCATGAAATCAGTGCTTTCGGGCCAGTCTCATCTTGGAGCAGCAGGGGCCCTTCCATTCTCCATCCAGGATGAAGCAGCAGCCAATGGAAAAAGATTTTAAAAAACAAACAAAAACCTTCCCCTCTTGGGCGGCATTTCAAGCAGGCTTGGGGAGTGGGCAGTGCACTTGATTTGTGTGTCTTTAATCTAAAGCTCTTGGGGCTTTCCAATTTTTCTAGAGTTGTTCAGAAGCCTTTTTCCCTTCAATGGAAGGTAAAAGAAAAATAAAATATGGTTTTGAATTCCAAACCTGAGCCCCTGGAGAGTCCTACGCAGTTTAGGACCACGGGTTGCCTGCTCTAATTCTTCATTACAGCTTTAGCCTGCGTTCGCCAAGTAATGCAGTGCTATGGGATGTACTCTAAAATGTATTCTATTGCTATGCTCAGCTTAGAGGCAAAAATAAGAATCTATAATTGTAATTTCTTATGTGTGGGATCCACAGGAAAGTGAAGAAGATACAGAGAAAGAACAAAAGAAATGGGAACACACAGATTTGAAGGCGGCACGAACATTTGGGATGCCTTCCCTCCTTCAAGCACCACTGTGGGAAGAAAACCGGACGGTACTGCAGCCCCAGGTCGCCGAGGTCAGAGGCTATTGGAGCCAGGTGTCCACATGAGGATGACCTTGGAGGAAAGGAGAAATTGGGCCGGCGAGGAGGCCGGCAATTTGGAAGGCCTTCTTTATTGTTTAACGTTCCTTAAAAGGAGCACCTGGGCTACGTGGAAACTTTTAGCAATATGTGTCTGTACCTTACATAGAAATTCACTAATATTCCTGAAAGGCTCAGAGACTGGTTGCCTTATGGTTGTTTCCGAAGACAATGCGGGGTAGGATAAGGAGAAGCAATCATAGAGGAAAATATTTATGTTTGTTCTCACTTATTTCGCTCAACAAACATTTAATAAGCACCCACTCTGCACCAGAAATGATGCTCGGTGCTAGGGATACCGTCATGAACGAGGTGCAGCATGTGCCCCCAGAGGGAATATTCTGGTCTTCTCTGAGTGCGCAGGAGTAGGGATGTGAGTACAGTGATGTTTCATTCCCCTGCATCTGCTCTCTCTTCAGAAGCACACGGTCTTCAGAGAAGATAAATTTAGGTTGAAGTTCTGTGTGATTTAAGATCACATTAAAAAAAAAGTGAGCTGAGCCAGAAATATTTACTGAGCGGTGTCAGGGTTCTCTCTGTGTTTTCCATATGTTCCTGTGGTCAGGGCACATTGGATGGGATTGGCAGAGAAGCTGTTCATTAACAAAACCACAGAACCAGGACACTCTCGCTCAGCTCAGACCGTCTTCTGTCTGCACAGACCTGGCTCCAGGGGACCCATCGCACAGAGGGCAGGCGCTTCCTTACCCAGTTAATGGGAAGAGAGACACAGTCATCTTAAAAAGCTGTCATTGCTATGGAAACGGTTTTCTCCATTGCCGATGGTGGCAGTTTCCTCCTACCACATTCCAAGGACATGTTGCTCCTCACTTAACTCAGCTTCTCCGATTAACACAATCCCACCAGCAAATGCTTTCCCTGTTTTTTTTTTTTTTTTTTTCAAGAAAGCTGCCTTAATTTGGCCGCCCCCTTCCTGGAATAACCAGTGCTCTGAGCCCTCAGGGAGATGAGAGAAGCTAAGCCCAGGAGCCCCGCAGCTGCTGCTTTAGCCCAGAGGCAGGGAGGGGGACAGGTGACGTGCAGCCTCTGCTATCCAAGAGTTTCCCCAGGGAAGAGATTCCAGGGTCTCCCAAGGCTTCATAATTCCAAATCCAGTGGCCTCTTCCCACGCGTCCCTAACAGGCTGCAGCATTTGACACCAGCCCTACTTCCTTCTTTCTTTCCTCTTTCCTCTCTGGGTGGCTGTGACTGCTCAGCCCGGCTCTCTCCTCCCTCTCCCCCACTCCAACGGCTCCTCCTCTGTAATGTTCCAAAGCTTGTCTTCAGCTCTGGTCCAGGGATTGAGAGTGCAGCTGACTGGGGAAGACACACCCACATACCCCCAGGAAGACCCCTGAAGAACCTCTGTGGATGGTGTGTCCTCAGACTTTTAAAGTCTCTAAGCCCTAGGAAGGTTGTCTTTTAATCCTAACAACCTCCCCCTTCCTCCATGTGCCAAAATTAAACCTTTCAAGACTTTCCAAGTATAAAATTCGGCTATCCAGAAGTTATCAAAGCAAGACTTTCCTTTCCTTTCTTCTTTTTTCGTTTTGTGCCCCAGTTGCTCAACGACATTCAGCCGGACCACCAGGGAACCCCACCCTGCCCAGGCCGTGCTCCCAGACCAGGAAGCCCCAGCAGGCAGCGCGCCCACACTGTGCGGAAACCCAGCTACTCTCGTAAACTTGCTATTGTCTTGGCCGAAACTGGTGGTCAGAGCAAAGTCCAAATCAGCTCAAAATACCCGAGTGATCTGCAGATCACAAGACTCCTTCTGATAAGACGTCATGTTCACCGGTGACATGTCCAGCAACAGCAGCAAAGAACCAGAGAAGGTTCACACAGCTGACCCTGGAGCAGGAAGTTTGCCTGCCCTCCCCAGGCTTGCTCCTGTGTTTTGTGTGCTTTCTAAGTTGCACGATGATCTCATCTCTACGCTGTTCTCTAATTTGTTCACCTGGCCGTGTTACTCTGTAACTGCTCTGCGCCTTTCACGGAGATAACTCTGCGGCTCCCCTTCTCCACCCTGTTATTCACACAACAGAAACTTCACAGAGAGCTAGCCTGCTGCACACCCACAGCAGCACCCTGAGGGACGGAGTGTGTGGCACCCACGTGTGGACCCACAGTCAACACCACAGACATCCATGTGTCACCAAACACACTTGGGCACACCACAGACCTACACGGACTCAGGACGCCCTGTATTTCTCCTGTCCCAAGTATAAATAATTACGTGACCAAGCTCACTACTTGCCATCGGTCCTCCCTGCCTAAGTTCCGTGAGACCTGAGCCTGGGAGGGTCTCGGTGTTCGTGAAACAAATAAATGATACACGGACACAAGCAAACCCAAACCAGCTCACCGTCATGCAGCCACACAGCGTCCAGAGAGCCCTTTCATTTACATGATCTCATTTCATCTTTGCCAAGGGCTAGGAATCAGATGGGCTAACAATGGGACACTGAGGCCCTGAACCATTAAGAGACATGACCAAAGTCCCATAGCCAGAAAGCAGAGAGCTGACACTCGAATCTGCTTCTCCCGATTTGAATGCTCTCTGCTCTATTCTACACCAAATAGCCTCACATAAGCATAGATACACATGCACGCACTTACACACGGACTTAGAGGGGAGAAATCTGCTATTTCCCACTGATGGAGATAACCACATTCACATACACGCCTACCGTGATCTGTGCCCATACAGCCACACCATCACATGTGCCCATATAGACACCACACCCTCCGCACCCCATTCTGACCTCTATCCAAGACCAAGGGCAATGCAACACTGCACAAGGAGTCGGTCAGGACTGTGGGTTCTAACCCATCTCCAACCTATAAATTCCCATCAGAGAGATCATTAGACCACGAGTTATTTTCATAAGATCTCCCCATTCTTGGACTAACATCCAAAAACCTTAAAACATAGGAGCTTAATTCAACCACAGGTAATAATAACACCTCCCATTTATTGGGGGGGTTCCCTCAGTAAACGTAAGGTACATACCTTCACATAAAGTATATGACTCGACCTCTACAATATCCTATAGGGAAACCAGCAGGTGAGCTATGTAATGCTGCTCCATCCTACAGACAAGAAAACTGAGGCTCAGAGAAGTAAAGTTCCTTGCTCAGCATGGTGGGACTTGAGTGGGACTTAAACACAGAGCTTTTAAGTCCAAGTGAGCCCAGAGCTTTTTGAGAAACACACAGTTGAGATAATATCACTGAACCCTGCTTCACCTTTTTAGAGATAAGTAAACCGATGTCCCCACACCACCCCCACCTCTCTGGGAGGGCCCAGCAGGCTGGAAGCAGAACTGGGGCTGGACTCTTGGTTTGACTCCCAGGACAAAACCCCCTTCGAGACTCCAAGATACCACTGCTCCAGCACCCAAAGGAGAGGATATTGTTCAACTAACCTTGGAGCACGGAAGTCACTTCTGTCCTGGACACCCTGGGCTGGGATCTTCAGACGAGAGGTCTCTGTGTCCTAACACAGCGGTCTCTGCTCCCTGTGGGCTGGTAACTGTGCTGGACAAGAAGTCAGGTCCAGCTCCCTCTCGGGGAGAAGATGCCACTGCTTGGTGCTGGTAATTTTCTGAGTGTCTCAGAAGATATATATATTGTATCTCCCAGGAGCTGAGCTCATGGCAGCCAATCCTGAGAGCCATGGGCTGGCTCACCTGCCTCCACCTGTCACCACCCATCCCCGGGCTCCTGCCCGCTTCTCCAATGATAGGAGGCTTAGCTCAGCTAACCCAGAAAAAACAGTTTCACTTGACAACTTCCTTATTGCAGAAAAACCCAATAAGAAACCAAACCTAAGGTCTGTCTGGGGAAAGCCCTACCTGTAGAGTTGAAAACAAGCCTTAATGGGAAATACAGGCTGGGGGAAGAAAGTGCAGGTAGCCTTACGGCCGTTACAACACTCAGTTATCTTTGAAGATTAGTGGGAAGGGAGGGACCTGATCATGCTACTCCAGCCTAGGCAACAGAGTGTGACCCTGTGTCAAAGAAAAAAAGAAGCAACAGAGAGAGAGAGAGAGAGAGAGAGAAAGAGAGAGAGAGAGAGAGAGAGAGAGAAAGAAAGAAAGAAAGAAAGAAAGAAAGAAAGAAAGAAAGAAAGAAAGAAAGAAAGAAAGAGAGAAAGAGAAATAAAGAAGGAAAGAAAGAAAAGAAAGAAAGAAAGAAAGAAAGAAAGAAAGAAAAGAAAAGAAAAGAAAGAAAAAAAAGAAAGCAAAGGAAAGAAAGAAAAAGAAAGAAAGAGAGAAAGAAAGAAAGAAAGAGAAGGAGAGAGGGAAGGAGGGAGAAATGAAGGAAGGAGGGAGGGAGAGAAGGAAGGAAATGTATTGAGTGCTAGACATCTTTCTTTCTGTGTATTAACAGTGTCTGGTACTTGTAAGGGCTCAATAAAAGGCCAATATTTTATTATGGGCAACAAAGTTATTAATGCTTCATTCATTCTGTCAACAGGTTTTGGATCCAGCTGTGTGCTAGACACTGTCTCAGCACTAAATTTAGAATTTATCGGTCCAAGAAGTGACCCTGTCTTCAAACAAAGGTTAAATAATATTACATATTTTTCATTTATTTAATGAAACTATTTTGTCACCCACTTCTTCCAGGTCTTGTGTGGATTGTGTGTGCTCTTTCTTCTTCTGAGGTGAATAGGCTTGGCCCAGCACAGCCCTCATGGAGTCCACAGAGCTGTTGGGAAGAGAGAAACACACAGAGAAAATCATACAAGCAAGCGGAAGGGAATGGGAAGTTACTGTTTGTCTAATGCGTACAGAGTTTCCGTTTGGGAGGAATGTTGTACCACTGCCTCCACCATCAAACCATCTCCAGAGCTTCTGAGATGTGGAGGATTTTTACAAGGCACGCGCAGCCTCGACTGGAGTTGTGGAGATGGTTCAATGGTGGACATAGTGGTACAACAAGCAGAATGTACCTAATGCCACCACACCGTACACTTTAAAAAGGTTCAAACAATCAACTTTATGTCATGTATATTTTACCACAATAAAAAGAAGGGCAGGGGCAGAGAACCATGTGGGGCACTGTGCAGGTACCTCCCATGTACCCAGAAATCCCATCTGCAGGTACATGAGCTCCTAGGTTCTCATGGGAAGGAGAGCCGCCATGGGCGGCTCTGGGCATTCCACACCTTTTCCATCAGGGGTCCTGGGGGCAACCTAGCCCTGCCCTCAGTGCCTGCCAAAGACCACGCCCTGGGCCGGGATCTGGAGACAGACTTTGGCAGCTGCCTGTCCCGGGGCCAAGGTCTGCTACACTATGTGCAAGACCCCATGCAAAATGAAAACAAAGCATCCTTGTTCAAAAAGTATTAACAGTTTCAAGACAGACAGCAGAACGTTAAACCAAGCAACAGACCCTTCTGAGTGCAGACCCTGTGCAAGTGTCCAGGTGACACAGCTGTGAAGGGGGCTCTGAAGGTGACAGTTCCCAACCATGTGCTGGGAGGGCAGATGGCAGAGGGAGAGAGAGAGGGAGATAAGAGAGAATATTTTTGAAATTTTTATTTAAGTATAATGTGTCTTGAGGTCATGAGTATAACATACAGAAAGTGCGCAGACAGCTGGCTGCAGTGGATCACGCCTGTACTCCCAGCACTTTGGGAGGCTGAGGTGTGTGGATCACCAGGTCAGAAGTTTGAGACCAGCCTGGCCAATATGATGAAAGCTCGTCTTTACTAAAAATACAAAAATTAGCCAGATGTGGTGGCACGTGCCTGTAGTCCCAGCTTCTCGGCAGGCTGAGACAGAAGAATCACTTGAACCCAAGAGGTGGAGGTTGCAGTGCGCCAAGATCATGCCACTGTACTCCAGCCTGAGTGACAGGGCAAGACTACATATCAAAAAAAAAAAAAAAAAAAAAGTGCACAGATCATAAGCAGACAGCTCAATGAATTTTCACAAAGGGCATAAACCTGTGTAACCGGCACCCAAATGAAGAAAGAGAACATTCCCGCACCCCAGAACCCGCCTTGTTCCCCTCACGACCCCAGATTAGATTAGTTTTGCCTGTTTTTGAACACCATCGGTCTAGATGTTTTCTACCCGTCCGGCTTATTTCACCGCATGTCTGGGGGACTCAGCCATACTGCTGTGCTGTGATTCTCAGACGGACAATCCCACGTGACAGAGCGGGTGTGGGGCAAGCAAAACTCTCACACACTGCTGGTGGGAGTGGAAAATGAAGCAACTAGTAGGAAAAAATGACTGGCAATATCTACCAAAGCTGAACAGATACCTGCCCTATGACTTAGCAATCCCACCCCCGGATAGATAAGCAACAGAAATGCGTCCCCCCGCCCCCTCCAACGACTTTTACATGAATGAGTGCATCAGCGCTGTTTGTGATAGCCAAACCCTCAAAAACTTGGAACAACTTCAATGCCCATGGACAGGAAAATATATAAACAGTGGCATATTCACAAAATTTAGGTTTTTTTGTTTTTTGTTTTTTTCCCAGAGAGTCTGTACATTTATTTAGAAAGACTTTTCACCTGCTTGTGTGGCCTGGGTGTGTAGGGTGGGGCACGGAAGATAAACGTGATCTTGGATAAAAATGACGGTAGCAATGGAGAGCGCTGGGTGAACCCCAGGGCCCCAGTCTCGGGAGCACTGGATACTGAGTAACAAACCTAAGAAGGATTTTCCCAAGGCACACTCTAACCTCTCTGCGTATGAACCTCGCTTCCCAGAAATCCGTCCCCATCCTGACAGAATTCTCTACACCTGGAAATGGGCTCGGCCTTGATTCGCTCTGCGGCTCTTGTTCACTGCAGAGCAAAGAGCAAGCTGGTGAACTCTCACTCCTTTCCCGGGCCACACCCTCTGCCTGGAGCCTGCTAGTTCGAGGTCCAGCCTCCAGCCCACAGGTCTTCCCTAAGTCTTCCTCCCTGTCCTCAGTGAGAGGGACCTGAAGGACGATGACCTCACTCCTTCTCAGTCCCGTCAGGACCCAGGATCAAAGTCCCCAGCTTGAAAACAGCCTGGGAATATCCCCACGGTTGCTGTGTGCAATGCCTGATTAAGGTCTTGGGCCAGAAGTGCTCAGTGAATCTCGGTTCCCCTCCAGGCTCCCCTGCCTGCCTCGTGGCTCCCAGCGGCTCCTAGACTCTCCGCCTCAGCTGTCTGTGGGCACCTCCAGTGCCCATCCCCGTGGAGTGGGAAAGCTCTTTGACATTAGGCAGAGCTGCTCCGCAGCCCCAGCTGCCCACCGCCAGGGGGCGTGCTGGTGATCACAACGACAACGGCCATTTGCAAAATGGTTGCCAGATGTCAAGCCCACAGCAGGAACTTCTAAATACGTGATTTTTGCCCCCACAGCAATACTCATAAAGAATATATTGTTATTTTACAGATAAGGAAATTAAGGCTCAAAAAGATAAAATAGGCAGGGTGCGGTGCCTCACACCTGTAATCCAAGCACTTTGGGAGGTTGAGGCAGGCAGATCACTTGAGGTCAGGAGTTCAAGACCAGCCTGGCCTACATGGCGAAACCCCATCTCTAGGAAAAATATGAAAATTAGCTGGGTGTGGTGGTGCGCACCTGCAGTCCCAGCTACTTGGGAGGCTGAGGCAGGAGAATCACTTGAACCTGGGGGGTGGAGGTTGCAGTGAACCAAGATCACACCACTGCACTCCAGCCTGGGCGAGAATGAGATTCCATCACAAAAAAAAAAAAAAAAAAAAAAAAAAGAAAGAAAAAAAAAAAAAAAAAAAAAAAAAAAAAAAAAAAAAAAAAAAAAAAAAGTAAAATGCTTAAGTGATACTAGTGAATAGCAGATTAAAACCTGCCGGTCAGCCAGGCCTCATGGCATTCAAATTTAGTCCCAGCTACCCAGGAGGCTAAGGCAGGAGGATCTCTTGAGCCTAGGAATTCTAATCCAGCCTGGACAACATAGTGAGACCTTATCTCCCAAAAATAAATATAAAAATCTGCCAGTCTCCAAAGAACGCTCCACCGTTCTTCCTAACCTCAACTTTCACACCAGTATAATAGGAATAAACGATACCAACCTTGCAGGACTGCTAGGAAATGTGAGGCGATGCAGTGAGCACTTGGCATAGGGCACTGGTGGGCACGTGGGTAGTGGGAGCATTAGCTGAACAGAAGCCCACAGTGAGGTCTCATCATGGGACTGGGGTCCGCAGCTCTCTCACAGAGCTTGCTCCAAGCCCAACAGTATTACATGGGTGAACCCAGCCAGGATAATTCCCCAGATTCCTCTTCCCTGGGTCCTAAGGTGGACATTGGTCTGCTCAGTAATGGAAGCACATGGTTTAAGCCAGGGTGTCTCAACCTCAGCTCTGTTGACATTTTGGACCAGATACCTATTTGTTAGAGGAGAGGGGCACTGCCCTGTTTATTGTAGGATGTTTAGCCTCATCCCTGCCCTCTACTCACTAGATAATTGCATACCCCACCCAGTAGTGAAAACCAAAAATGCCTCCATTGTACCCTGGAGGGCAAAATCTTCCCCAGCTGAGAACTGCTGGCTTAAGCAATAACAACATGCAATGATCTCAGGTTACCTAGGAGTCCCTGAGGCAGGT